TTGGCAGAATCTACCCACATAACATAAGGCCAATCTTCACACGTTCTCCTCACACTTCATGAATAAACATTCCTTTATTCAAATAAGTTATATATTAACTAACTCCAGTAATTGTGATTCAACTTTGAATGGTAAATAGAGTCATTCTGGCAAGATTGCAGAGTTTGCAATGCAAATTACAGAAATTTTAATAATGGCGAAAATAAAAATTAGTGGCATGATTCCTAAGGCAGTGTAATTCCAATACTTTTACTGCAACAGTAGAAAGCGCACATAAATACTTCTCCATTTATAAGCTGAGGGGTTTTATTTGGATATGCATCATCACACAGATTTACCTGCACTCTCGTCTAGGAGCATCGTTTCGGGGACTCAGGAGGCGCAAGCTAGAACTTCAAAGCTCCCAACCCCTGACATTAAGGGGTAATGTTGCTACTTCTCGATAAATAACAATGAAACAGTCACTGGATTAAACGATTTCCCTGCATTATCACCATAAACAATAATTATTTGGCAGTTGCCCTTTGCAAGCTTTGCATGTGCTTATGAATAAATCAAGCCTTATTGATTTACTAAGTCAAAACGTTCTACATTTTGTTCCACTAATAAGGCCATAATCCCCCACTGCACTTAGTGATGCTTTAATGTAAAATGTTCCTTAATACTTTTAATATGAAAGATTAGTGACGATTAGCCCCCAGGCAGGAACACTGCTCTCTGAATGGCAGATTGGCCACAGAACCCAGTCGCTCTGAATATGTCCTTGTTAATGGAGTTCCCTGACTTGCTGATGGGAATCACATCTCAATGACATACACTGGCCCCACTGCTGCGCTATTTTTCCTTCCTCATAACGTTTAACATAATAATGACAACTCACATTAATTCAATGATGAAATTAATCTAAAATAGTGAGGCAGGAAAATATAGAACTGTAAAGGGTTCTATGTGCCCTGTAAAGTTATCACCTAAAATAATAAAAATCACTCTCAACACAGTGACTGCAGAAGACAGAAGGCCAAGGTGGACATCCCAACCGGTCCTGAGGGTCTGGAGTCCACGATTTCAGGTGGACAGGAAAGGCATCCCCTCCCTTCTCGAATGTAGTATCCTCTGGGTTCCAACAGGGAGTCCGAGGTCTCTACTGAGGGAAATTCTACCCTGGCATTAGTGATAACTTTTATCCTGGTTAATTTGTTCCTCAGTCAATAAAACTTCATCATCCCCCAAAGGAACACACAAGAAACTTTATTTCTGGTTGTCTGGACAGATTCTGGTGTACTTGCTAGGTGTACATGCATCCTCAATGAAAAATGAACTCCATTCTTCAAGCATAAAATAGGAATACCAGCACCCACCCCTGCCTCCCTTCCTCCCTTCCCTCACAAGGATCATAAACCAAGGAATTTCATACTGGAAAGCTCTACAGAGATTATATACTACAACCCCTCGTTTCAAAGATGAGGGCAAGCTAAGAGAGGCCAGCCAGGCAACACGGTGAGACCCCACCTCAATTTAAAAAATTTAAAAAGGTGAGAACTCTGGGTGCGGAGGATTCACCCACAGAGCTAAGTGAATGCAGAGCAAGAATTCGCATCTCTGATCCAACCACAATGCCCCTTCCTTTAGGCCACTTTGATTCCTGGGATCTGTAGTGAACCTTCTCTGTCACCATGGAGCCCTCCTCCCAAACAGAAGCAATAGGTCAGAGATTGCTGTATCTTCATATTCTGGGATGCCTTTCAGGTTTAACCACCCAGAGACCAACTAGGTACAGTAACAGAATTTACCACTATATTAGCTCTCTAAGAAAAACCACACAAACAAAAATCCCTGTTCAAAAAATAGATTCCCCTATTCCCTCTGGAACAACTGCCGCCTCTGGTTACAAAGCAATAATTATCCTGTCCTACAGCAATCAATAAAACCTCTTGCCCCATGAACCTGCTATTTCCTGACTTTGTTCTCTGTACTAAAGATTTCCAAGTCTCATTGATTATCTACTAAATTTGTTTTAAGTTCTTTCAGAAACAGAGCTGAAAGGAATCCTCTAGTTAGCATAAGTTGTTATTGTTTGAACAGTTTGGTCACATTAATGGTTTCCCTTTTCCTGGGGCTTTCCATTTTTTTTCATTTTGAACTTGTCATTTTACAGGCATCCGCATCTTGACTAATAGCAGAGCCTGTAGGATACAAATCTGATGATGCTTCTGTGGCTGTGGCTGCCACCGCATTTTTCTTCCAAGAGAGAGAAGAACTGATGAATAAACTGTGTCTTCTCTCAAGCAACAACATGGATTTTGCCGAATGAGCCCGTGAGCTCTTAACATTCAGTACCACTGAACTTCCACAATAGTCAGCAGAGCAACTGTTATACAATTCAACCATCTTAGATCCTTCCCAAGAGTCAAACTTTAAAAGTGCATCACAAATGAGATCAGCAACGAGGACAGGATATGGCAGGGCCATGGCCAGGGGTCCAGCCTGAGAGGAGCCTCTCAGGCCTCCTCTCCGTGGTCCTCCTCTGAGCTCCTCTCCTCCCAGAGCACCCAAGTGTCCAGGATATACCCATATCTGTCTGTCCCTCCTAAGTGTGTAGGGCACAGCTACCTGGCATCTGTGTGCAGAGCTAGGGGAGAGGACGGTCTCTAATTCTCTAACTAGAAGAAGTACTATCCCAATATCCATCAGTACAATTCGTTCATTGAAACATTTATTCTACAATAGATGAGAAATTATAGGAAAAGTAAAGAAGCAAATGTGACATTGTTATCATCTCACTTCAATGGCAGTTTAAATTCAAAGCCAGATCTAAAAATGGCATGTATGACCAACTTAGGCTGGGTCTGGAGCTAAGTGCCTCCTTACCCCCAGGATGTGTGGGTGCAGAGATGGAATGAATGGGAGTTCAGATAAAGCCAGACCCACCATCAACCGTTCTCCAGGGCTCCTATGAAAGGTCCTCCTTGAGAGGGATGAAAGACTGGGCAGTACTAACTCAAAATGCAAGGAAGCAGAACTAGGCAGTCGGCACACTCCCTGCCCGAGCAGTGACGGTGACACTTACAGAAGCAGCATCTCCACTTTCTTCAGGGGATCACTCCATTGCTCACTCAGCTGTCACTGAGAACTCCTCACAGGGCCACACAGGTGCTCACACCATGGGGCTTACTGTCCAAGGCCATAAGACGGCCTGGACAAAGACCCACACACTGGAAGGACAACTGGATCTAAACATCTACCAGCTAATGAATGGAGAAACACAATGTGGTAGATCCACAATGGACTGTTATTCATTCAGGCTTAAGCAGAAAGGAAATCCTGATGTGCTACACAGCAAGGGTGGGCCTTGAGGAAACCAACCAAAAGAACAACTGTGACACAGCTCCACATATGTAAAATGCCAGCACAGGGAAAGTCCACAGAGACTGAAAGTAGATGAAGGGTTGTGGGGAGAGGGGACGAGGAGTGACTGTGGGGGCGCAAGAATGTTCTGGAAGCAGACTATAACAATGGTTGCACAACCTTGTAAAGACACTAAAAATCACTCAACTGTATTTAATGGTATGTGGATTGTATTTCAAAATTGTACCCCCCAAAAAAAGTGTGCCTGCAAAGTGATCAGCACTAAGGGCCCCCACAACTATGGGAGCACAGGTAGGGTCCAACCTAGGGGTTAGGGGAAAGAGAGAGGAGCTGAGAGCTGCAGAGAGGGAGGAAGAAGGAGAAAATAATTTCCAGGCAGAGGAGAGAGCACAGGCAAAAATGCAAGGCAAGGACAGGAGGAAGGCCCTTTCTCTTGTTCTTCAGAAACAACAAAGGCTCCAGATGTCAGCAAGGCCAAGGTGATGGACTGAACCTTGACAAAGGTCACAAATGTCATTTAGATGCAAGGCCATTTTTATCACTCCCTCTTTAGTAGGCTATTGATTATGCATAACAAAGGTGATACAAATAACAAAAAATTTCAAAAATAAATAAAACAGACTGTTACCCTCAGGCAGAAAAACGATGTATCAAAACCTTAAGAAAAAAAATAAAGTTCAAATTGCTCTGAAGAGCTAAGGCCACTGCTGATATCATGGTTACTTCTAAACCATATGTGTCACCTCAAAAGAAATGCAGGCAGTGGGCACCAGGAGAAGGTGACACATACTGCAGAGGGACTTCGAAAGCCTTCAGCACTGGGGCTGTGACACAGAGCAGGGTGCTGAGGGTCAGGTCCGTGGCTGCACTTAGTTTTTCACACCTACACAACCAGGTGAGTTTCAACACCTCTGGAGTACACAGCCCAGGCTTCCCAGCAGGGTCTCTCAACCTCTGCACCACAGCAGGCTGGGGCTGACCCTGCTTGGTTGAGGGGCATCCTGGACCTTGTAGGAGGGTTAGCAGCATCCCTCTAGAGGTCAGCAGCACCTCCCTCCCACCAGGTCCCCCAGCAAAACTGTTTCTGGATCTTGCCACATGTCCCCTGGGGGCAGAACTTCCCAGCAGGGAACAAGTGACCTCTGTCCTAGCCCTTGAAGGATGACACTTCTCCAAATGCTTCACACCCTCAGGCCTCCTCACAACCAAACCCGTTTAAAACTCAGAGAAGAGTGTGTAAGAGGCTCTACAGTCCTGTTCAACCTGTGGACTCTCTGAGGCAGAAGGAAAGCCAATCACTAACCAATCACTAAGGAGAAACATCCTTTCAGCCTTCTCCTCCCTCCAAAAGCAATTTAAGAATTAAGCTCCAATGTTTGCACCTTCTAAAGGCCACACAGTTGGCTCAAGGGTCAGGACCAGCCCTGACAAGTGAAAACACACCCTTACCCCAGTGCCCCCCAACACCCCGCCCCCCGCTGATGAAACCCAAGAAGCGATTTTTAAAAAGCTAGTAGACTTTTGCACTAAGTTCATTCAGCATTTTCTACCAGGTTCTCTGTGCCCATCACAGTGACTTCGGCATCATGAAGGGCAATCCCGTGTAAGCCAAAGCCGTCCATATGTGGGCTCACCATCTGGGGGCATCAACACCTTGTTGTTCTGGGTGCACCACCCTACGGGGTGCAGATCCGCTATGACCACATCACACCAGAAGTCAGCCCTGCGGTCCTCCCCATAACCACAGTAGCGCAGAAGCAGCAGCTGCCCGCAGGTGGTGATGATCGTGGCCACCCAGTAGGTGTCCGGGTTGCTCTTATTAGCCACCTCCAATTTCATTCCCGGCTGGAAGTTGCTCTGAATGCTGATTTCAACCTTAAGGAACAGAAACAGGAAAACCATTGTTAACGCTAGATACTCATTTCCAAAACATGACAAGAACTGCCAGAAAAAAGAGCACATGAACTCAGTATTTCTGTTGCTGTAAAACAGGAATGTATTTGTCTAAAAGAAACATAATGCAAACTACAAATGTAATGCTAAATCTTCTAGGTGCCACGTTTGAGGAAAGAAAAGATAAAACAAAAGTAATTTCAGGGCTGGGGTTGTGGTTCAGTGGCAGAGTGCTTGGCTAGCATGTGTGAGGCACTGGGTTGATTCTCAGAACCACATATAAATAAATAAAACAAAGGTCCATTGACAACTAAAAAAATAAAAAATTTTTTACAAAAGTAATTTCAGTAATATTTAATTTCTCCTATATCCAACACATTATTGTTTAACATGCAACTAATACAAGAAAGGAGAATGAGGTATTCTTTTCTTCAAATTGTTCAAATGAAGGGTCCCAAACCTACTCTTATGTTCTACGCGTGGTCCACACCCAGATGTGGGCTACACTACACACTTTTCCAATATTCAACAGTTCTGTGAGCCAGTGGATTCTGACAGACTGCCCCAGCCTAGAGTATACACTTATTTTTGTCTCCTTTTTTTTTTTTTTAATAAAGGGTTATACTGCACTGAAACACCAGCTTTTCTCCTCCTTCCTCCAAAAAGAGTTTTCCAGGCTTGGAGGTATCAACATTCCAAAGCTGACATATGTGCTGCTTTAAGCAGCAGGCACTTAGAGGAGATGATGGAATCAAAAATTTCTCCTCCGTGGGTCCGATGCTACTTTTCCCTTAAACCTGGCTCGCAGGCCTGGGGAAAGCCTGGACAGAGGCCCTCACTGCTGCCAGGACACTCTACTGTGACTGAAAGGGAGGGGAGAACTAATGAATCAAGGATGGGGATGACTCCTGGAGGAAAGCTAAGGCAGGCCCTCCTGGTACAAGAAGGAAGGGAACTTTGTCAACCAGCATCTCTGTCCCCAACTGCCTTAAGGAAACTGCCAAAGCACCCCAGCATCTCAAGGTGCACATGTTACCATGGCTTTTGCAGGACATTATCCACTCTATGCCAGGAAAGCTCTGGTCTTGCTATCTTTTAACATTTAGCTCTTGGGCCAGATGTGTTAGCACACACCTGTAATCCTGTAACCCCAGTGACTTGGGAGGCTGAGACAGGAGGAGCGAGTGTTCAAAGCTAGCCTCAAAAACTTAGCAAGGCCCTAAGCAACTCAGTGAGATCCTGTCTCAAAATAAAACATAAAAACGTCTAGGGATGTGGCTCAGTGTTCAAGCATCCCTGGGTTCAATCTGGTACCAAGAAAAAAGGAAAAAGAAAACAAAAATATTCAGCTGTTGGGTTTCAGTAAATGGTCACCATCATAATCAACTATAATATAACGAGCCCAAATAGAGAAACAGGAATGCCATGTCCCTTTACAGGGGCACACAAATCCAGGAAAGTCTCAAGTCCTTTTCAAAAGAACTCTCCACCTCCAAAAAGAATTAAATGTTTTTTAAAATAAAGAATCAAAGTTCTGGCTTCCTCACTCTGTAAGGAGCCAAAAAGAAAGTTAAAAAGTGCCCCAACCTGCTTCCGAACATCAGGTGAATCTCTGTCCTGAGCCCAGGGGAAAACGGATTTCTCAGAGTAAAATTTTCATTTACTAAGACAAGAGTCTTGCCTAAGAGCTTGGATCTTAAAAATCTCATCTTTTCCTTGCTAATGATATTGAATCGGTATTTCACACCTAAGCAAAATTCTGATAGAAACTCATTTTTTTTTTTAAATTTTCTGGGACTTGTCCTCTGATGAACAGGCTATGTGCACTATTCAAAGAAATACTGTTAATGAGAATGATCTTCGGATTAGATTTAAATGCTTTCAGCATATTTATGGTTAGTCTTCTCATTTGATTCATCTGCCCACAGATGGCTATAAAACGTATGTGTCCTTTCAAAATAAAAATATCAGTTCATGAAAACAATACACACCACTCCGCCTACAGCGAGACATTATGAGTCCCACCTACTCGCCTGGTTTGGAACTTCCTCATCTCTTTATTCCTAAGAAACCATGCCTGAATTTCCTCTTTTCTTTCTTCTTGGGAGCAGTTCAGTACTTGGCCTTTGCCCTGCACACCACCACCACCCCCGCCCCCGCAGGTCACAGGAAACCAGCTGCTTCACTTACATGCTTGAAGGATGTGTGAGGAGCTGCCCGAGCACCTGTCTCTTCCAGATACTCTCCCCAGTTAAAGCCGATTTCCTCCAAGCTTGAACCTTCTTCTGTGGGGGAAAAAGAAAGGACCATCAATACAAGGGTAGAGGATGGGAGGCACTGGCCTTTGACTGGGACCAGAAAACCAAGAGATAAACTCATTCAGTGGGGTTTAGGAGGACACTGCTGAATTCTTTGCAGAGCTCCAGTTTGTTGACTGTAGAGAAGGTGACCAAGGAAGAAAACTGGCCAGATCCTGCTTTGACCCCACCCCCAAAGCCAAGAGTAACCTTAGAGTTCTCAGCAGATGAATGAGGCTTATCTAAGGCTGATTTGCTACAAGGTACTGTATTTGTTTGAAATTAACCATGGTAGACACCCCAGGCTTTGGGAAGGCTGGAGAATGGAGGAAAGGAACATTCAATCACTGAGTATACCAATGATACATACTGACACCAACCCTATCTGCCCAGTGGCTGCATCCTGGAGATGCAACTCTCCTTGACCGTTAGTGCCATAGGGATGTTAGAAACAGGGACTCCAGCAGGGCAGGGTGGCACATGCTTCCTAGCAACTCGGGAGGTTGAGGCAAGAAGATTACAAGTTCAAAGCCAGCCTCAGCAATTCAACAAGGCTCCAAGCAACTTAGCAAGACAGTATCTCAAAATAAAAAAAAATAAAAAGGGCTGAGGATGTGGCTCGGTGGTAGAGGAGCCCCTGGATTCAACCCCCAGTACCAGAAGAAAAAAAAAGAAATAGTGACTCCAGTGACATTTGAGAAGAAAGAAAATGGAGGGTCCGGGACTATGAGCCACCTGGCAAGCCAGCAACAGAAATACAGCAGCTACCAGACACACCTGATGCCCAGTTACGGACATGTCTCCAGCTGGGAGAGAGCTCTAAGGGCCACTCACACCAGTTTCTCCAATCACAAAAAAAAAAAAAAGAAAAGAAAACTACAGTCAAATGCACAACACAGGTCTTAAAATCATAACTTTTTTTTTTTGTACTGCAGATTGAACCCCAGCCCTTTTCATTTTATATTTTAGGACAGAGTATTGCTAAGTTGCTGAGGCTAGCCTCAAACTTGCAATCCTCCAGCTAAAACTTCCGAAGTCACTGGGATTACAGGCATATGCCACCATGCCCTGCTAAAATCAAAACTACTTTTAACTTGCACAGCTGTACAAGGTCAGGTGCTAACGGAAATCAAGTAATCCCCGAAACATTTGAGGCTGCATGTAAGACATCATTTGTATAATTGAAAAGCACCAAGTAATGCACTGTAAAAAGTAGATGGCATAAATGTCACCCCAAAGAGCTCAGAAACTGTATACATTATTTGAATCTTTTTTTAGGCTATCATAAGGAAAGAACATACAATAATAAGAGCTGCCCAAATATGCAAACAAGAACTTCAAATGTATAGATTCTCTTCCACAACAATATTCAAGGGATGCTGATGTTCAATCCTTCTATCTTTTATAAACAAGAGCCAATTTCACTGGCCAAGGGTAAATACTGCTTTCTAACATGCTGACTAACATAAGAGTACTATATCTAACAAGTGGCCACCCAAAGAAAGCACAGTTTTATTCTGGAAAACACCGCAGAGTGGCACCTGAAAACTCTGTCCCCACTACCTTCTCCCCATACAGTACTAGGCATCAATTACTCAATCTTGGAAAGCAGTTTCCAAGGCACTAATCAGATATCAACTCAGCACTATGGGATTTGCCAAAATCTCCTCGTGCAGTATCTGAGGACTGCAAACCTGCTGGAGACAAGAGTCTGGAATGTCTTCTCACCCTACTTGTCTGACCTCAGTCACACCCTGCCTTCCTGCAGCCCCTGTAAGCTGTGATCACAACACCACTATGGGAACATCCTATGAGCCACAGTAGGCTTGGGTGTCCACACTAGGTGCCCAGTATAGCATGAGCTCATAATCCTGCCAAGAACCTGACAGATGGCTACTCACAGAAGAGCTAACAGAAGCTCAGAAAGGTTAGAGAATCACCCAATCACAGGGGGACTCAGAGGCAGAATCCAATGCAGGCCTCCTAATTAGGAAGCTGGAACTCTTAATAACTGGTTAAGTCCCAAGTTTTCAATTCTGCTGAGAGCCACAGCCGAGTCAGAATGGCCCCTGGCATTTTGCCAATAGTATTGGTTGAGAGGGAGCCATTAAGATGATGCTGGATTGATTCAATTGTATATTAGACCTTTACTGTCCACCTCGGTGCCCGCTACTTTGGAGTTCTCGCGAGGATTGCCTGGGGAGTTCATGTTGGTTGGGGAAGTTCCGGGAGAGGGAGTTCCGGTTGGTGTGTGGTGTGTTCCTGGAGGAGCCGCGTGGGTGGGTGGCGTTAGGGAGAGTTCCCGGGGAGTGTGCTGGTGGAGTTTGGAAATAAAGTTTGTTCCTGCTTGAGTGGCTCGTGATTTGTGCCCAGCCAGACTGCGCCACAATTCCATAAAAATGCAATGAAATTTACACAGATGGATTAGAATAGGTTGGAAAAAATACTCTAGAGCTTATATATCTTATATGTACATAGGATATGTGTATATATATATATATATATATACACACACATACTTATATATATTCAAATGTTTTCATCACTCACCTATTTTCTCAAAAGAACAGAATTCTAAAAACATAACATTTATTTTCCCAAGTGAAGCTGTTACAGATGTCCCATATCTGAGATAATAGGACTTATTGGGTTAAGAGGCTTTCCCCTCATTCTTCTGCCTGCACTAGGCCTCAGAAGCCTCCACCACCTCCACCCATTTATCCGATCCGTGGAACCCTCCAAGGCCAACCCGTAACCGTGTTGGGGAGCATTAAAACATTCCACAGCCAGATGCACCCGATGCGGTAAGCAGGAGGCAGCAGCCACTATAGAGAGAAGCCAGTGGAGAGTCTGGAACCTGCTTATGAGGAAGAAGAGGAGGATCTGGGAAAAGACGCTAGGACTCAGCAAGGGAGAGTCTGGCATTGCAGACCCTGAGAACAACAGCTGTGGAAATGGGAAGGGGCTCTCTTGCTGGGCAGCGGCCAGTTCCTTCACATCAGGAACACTCACAGGGCAGTGGAGCCACAGGTCCCTGGCCACCACCTACCCTGGAATCCGAAAGAGGCCTGGTGAACCTCATCAGGGTCCCTGGCCAAGAGTGGGTGATTTCACCACTTCAGATCAGGGCTGCCAGGGCTGGTTTCTCCCTTCACCTTTGAGACCATTTGTTGCAGTGTTTTAGCCTTCATACCATTCTAGTCTATGCTTCGTATTTTACCAAAAATATGTTTCCACCAAATTTAAATTTATTGCAAACTCCATTTCTAGTCCCTCCTCAGGTAGCCAGCTGTGCGCTCCTTGGTGCTCGCTTGTTCATTCAGTCAAGCTGCCCAGGAGGTTAGATGGTCCACTGTGTCTCCCCAGCAGCCAGGGAGGCAGTAGGCTCGGCCACTCTGCTGGCCTAGGGAAAACACTTTGTCAAATACCCCAAAAGTCAGACCTAGAATGGGACTTTAAAAATAAAAACCTTACACCCAACACTGGTAACCTTAACCATGCTGTTTGAACAATAAAGCCACATACAAAATTTAGGGTTAGACATAATAGAGCCTTTAAAAAACTGTCCCACACAACCCGGAGGCCAGGACTCCCCAAGCAGCTGGTTCTCCAAAGACATTTCAATGAGCAATAGATAAACACACACCGTGTTTATGAGGAGAGGTCTCATAAACCCAGAGCAAATATTTACAGCTGATCCATAAACCTCTTAAACCCATAAACATTTTATCAAGGAAACTCTGACAATCTCCCTCCACCATAAATGAACCAGCAGGGAGGCACTTCCCATGATGTCATGAAAACCGTCTATGAAAAGCCACTAAGAAAATTTCACAATTTAAGAGAGAAAGCAGGCACGTTCATTAGTGGTGATCCAGAGTTCTAGAAAACAGAAAACTATTTGTGAGACCAGAATATTCCATAATGAACATAAAAAGCCGCATTAAAAGCAGGAGAACAAGTGACCTTGGGACGCAAAAACGCAGTTAGCAAATAGCCCCTACGTCTTTTTCTTAGGTGGTAAAATCTTGGGTTTGAACAATTTTACACTCTGAAATGAGGCTGACTTCACAAGCCTGTAACCACCACCCAATGAAGAAACTGAGAACCGGCACCCTTCAGAATGAACAGAACCTCACTGAGGACCTTCTTGGGTGGTGTGTGTGTGTGTGTGTGTATTTTTTTTAATGTGGAGAGAGACAGGAAGAAGACATTAAATCTCTTTTATTTCAAACACAACAGCCAGTTCATTTCGCACTACATAAGGTGTACAAAGTAGTGCAGCTGTGAGCAACTGTAGGAACCAAGGCCCCCTGCACTCCAGGAGGGACAGTCATCAGAATGCAAAGGTCCTTGTGGCTATCTCAGATGGCCACAGTTTATCTAGGAGGGAAGAAAGCAAAAACCCTCTTCCCTGGGGAAAGCAGCAACTCTTCAAAAGAGCAACTCTTTAGTAGATAGGGAACAATACTGCCAGGTCACAGATCTGGACCTCAGCATGGCAGTCCTGGCTTTCTCTGAGAATGCTGACTTCTTTTCTTCCCAAACACAAGAGCCTGTGGCTCTGCAGTTAGTATATTCCCAGCACCAAGGAGAAAACAAGACGGAGGCAAGCCCTCCAGTGCCCATCTTTCTAAGTGCCCATCCTTCTGCTCTGAGGCTTGCCCAGTCTAAATATGCCGCACACTTCATCCACAGACTCCACCAGGAAATTACACTTACCAAGCCTACAAAAATATGTCAGGGAATGTATTTATCACTATGTCAGCATATTGTTCTGCTTGCTGCTAGAGCAGCCACCAAAGTCGCCTGGAGTTCCCACGATCAGGTTTCCGGTGCACTTTGCTCCTCCTACACCCGGGAGGAGGCTGTCCATCCTATCTGCTGGGAATGCCTGCAGTTCCTGGGCTATTTCATCTACCTGTGCTTATTCCAGTGACATAATCCGTGTCCCTGGGAGGAGAAGCAATTTTATATTGTGCCTACTGCATTTGCATAATGGGTATCCATTACTGATCCCAACCAGGATTTGAATTTTCCTTAGGAAAAAAAGTCAAAATTCTTTTTTTGTTTGTTTGTTTAAAAAAATGTCAGTTTAATGACAGCTGGGGTGCAGAGTGGGGGGAATTGAGCAACAGAAAAAAAACTGGTGAACAACCAGGTTAGGTCTTTCATTCTTTGTCCCCACACTTTCCTTAGAGAAGGCTGCAGTCACTTAAGTGCAGTCACTTGCTGGGAAGATGAAGCCCTATGTTACATAACACAGGGAGAGGACAAAGGAGGAGTGGGAAAAAGAACCAGGAAGAATGTGGGCTGTGCCTTGTCCCATGGGAGTGGGGATCGGATTCCGGCCAGCACTTCTGAGAACCAGTTCCACAGCCTGAGGATGCCTGACATGAAGTCCTGCTTCCAATCACCACCCGAGTAGCTTTACCTGGACCAGTTTCCTCATCATGGAAATGTGGATGATCAAAGCAGTCACTCCTCTGTATGTCGAACTAACACACACACATAAAGGACTCGAAATGTTGAGTGTCTGCCCTATGGTCAGAAGGCAAGCTCATAAGGGACTGCCCCTCATTCACAGTCCATGTGGAACCCACTGAAGAACTCTGTCCTTCCCTTCTCTTGGAGTGACTAGCCCACAAATCTCATCAGGAAACTCTTCCCAGGGAAAGACCCTAAGCACTAAGACTGTACCCAGTGGGCCCCAGAATCAAATATCCCCACAACTGATTCTAGAACTGACAATATTTTATGTATGAACAGGTTGGCAAAAAAAAATAATAATAATAAAAACACATGGGGCTGAGGGTATAGCTCACTGCTTGATTGCCTAGCATGTGCAAGGCCCCAGGTTCAATCCCCACAAAAACTAAACAAATAACTTGAAGACTTATACTTGACTCTGTTGTTTGATTTAAATGCTCAAAACTAGATTTGAATTTCTAAAATGAATTCAGCCTCTGCACTCTACAAAGTTTCAGACCCTAGTTTTAAATTTGTAGCACCATCTTACCATGCAAGTGGGTGCACATGGAAATTCCAAAAAGAAGTGACATATTAGCCACACTAAGGGGCAAGGGGGGGTATCTGGCCAATGTCTGAAATATGTAATGATAATTTAGAATTATTGAGAAATGCTGTTTTTATTAAGCATATGAGCATCTTGTATGTTTTTAGGTCATCCAACACACAAGAGCAAGCAACAAAGTAAGTATATATGACAGGCTTCTGGCCTGGAATCCCCTGGCCAATGAATCCATCCTCGCTCTAACTTCCCATAGTTGGAACCATCCTCAAGGAAGTATCGGTACAAACAATTTTCTGACAGCAGATTATCATTGATGAGGTTCAGAATCTGCTCAGGCAAGAGAGAGTACGGAGAGATATTGAAGTTGCATGAAAATGAAAAGCCAATACACAGTTAGCTTTTAAACAGTTTTAAAAGCACACCACTGTCAATGGTTCAGCAACACACGTGATGTGTGCAGATGATATACTACGAAACCACAGCGAAAGCTCAGGAACTCCAAGAATGGAAAATAACCTCACTCGGAAAATACAAGAGAGACTTTTAAAAGGCACAAATGGCTGGGCGTCCCCCTTATTTCAGGGGCCTCCAGGTAAAGATACAATTTGAGAAACTTAATCTAATAAATTCAATTACACCAAGCAATCTGTCATTCTGTCATTGACTTGTCCAATCAAACTGTGAAGAAAAACTTCTTTAGGCAAATGGTCAAATCTCCCACTGAGTTGATGAGCAACACTATTTATGTGAATCCACCCCTGCAGGTGTTTATGAATCACAGGGCTAAGCTGTCCATAGTTAATTTGCTGCTATGTATAAATAAAGTATCCTTTTCAAATAAGCCCTTCAGTGTGTAAGTACTTAGAAACAGACACATTTCTAAATCCACTAGTTAAATATTAAAATCCAATCAGAGGCTGTTTGGGGGTGGGGGTGTTAGTTTTTTGCTTTTTATCAGATTTCTTAAAGGAGGTAACACTGCCACAGAAAAAGCATATGATGGGAATCTCTTTCCCATCACACACTGCAGCCTCAGGGATGCACTCATCCTTCAGCAGATCGGGTTCTCCTGTCCCTCTGTGGCTCGGTGACAGAATTCTATTTCCCAGCCTGCCTTCCTGGGGCACAAACATGGGACTAACTTCTAGTCGAAGGGTTCTGAGCAAAAGTGGCATCTGTCCCTTCTGAGCTAGAGCAATGAACTGCTGGCTCAAGACGCGCACGCTCCGCATGCCTCCATTGTGGCCAACCCTGGGTGCTCTGGGTGGAACACTGCACCAGGATGTCTGCCAGAGACGGCGTCATGATTTAGGAACACCAGTGGCTGAAACCACTGAGATTGAGAAGGGGGCATCACCCCCCACCTGCCAACCCGTTCTGCCTAGTACAGTTGAATTCACCTTCACCCCAAGTTTAACTTGAAAGCCGCTGCATCCTTAGGAACAGGAGGGCAAACCCCAGGAACAGGCAGAATTGTGGGCTCCAGAAATACTGCCCACATTGTTTCCAGAACATTTTGGGAAGATATTGGTCAAGAAACCAAAAGCCAGAAGGATGGAACAAGCGAAGTCCTACCTGAATCAAGGTCTCCGTTGCCATTAGCTGAGCCAACGTGCTTTTCTGGGGGGGAAGATGAAGGGTCCTGCATGCTGGAAACTGGCAAACTGTTCTCCATGCCTAGTGAGTAGGTGTCTTCTTCCCTTAGTTCATCCTGCAGTGAGAATTATCTAAGAGCAACCAAAAAAAAAAAAAATCAGAGCACTTTAATTACGTTCATTACATTGACTTGTTTCCAAGTCTTATAATCCCATCAGAGTTGCTAGCAACTCGCAACACTAGGATGCAATGTCATATTAGTAACATCAGGAATGCAGACTACCGAGTGCATCCCTACATGGGACTAAGCCAACAACAAAGTTCAGAGCATAGCAAAGCTATCAGTTTTCTAGAGGTCATACTAATAGGGACACATTTTCACCAACAAACAGAACCCACGTTTTAATCCCCAGTCCACCATGGTGACACTCCACTGCCCTCTTGATGCTGTGAAGCAGCAGATGCCCCTCACTGCAGCATCCCACGCGTGGGTCCTGCAACACTGTGTCTTCACTCATGTGTCATAAGTGCTCTGCCACCAAAACCAGTTCTGGTACCAACATTTGCAAACAGTGTGCTTTCTGCCAATCAGAAATGGGGACAAGAGGTTCCCTGTAATGGTACTGCCATTCCTCACTTGCATTCTGATATGACTGGCAGAAAAACAGAGAATATCATAATCAGTTCCCACAGAATTCTACAGTCTATGCTCATTTTGTTGCAGCCTAGGAGACTCCAGGAGCCATCCCTTCCAATGAGCATCCTGGCCTGACTCTGGTGGTTAGACACAGCCACGTGGGATTTTATAGCTTTTATTTGTTCAATGTTCTCTTTCATTTCTCTGTAGATAAAATTTTAAATCAGAAAAAAAGGCAAGAACAGATGAAAAAAGGAAAGAACATATTATAGAGTACCCATAAGGCATCTTTAAGAATGCCACACCCTTCTTTAGGCGCACGCGCACGCACACACACACACACACACACACACACACACATCTTTGGTGCTATTTAGTTTACTTTCCTAGAAAATATTTTGAGGTTGTACCAAAATCAAAGGTTCATAAGAGGGTTCATCATTTGGTGGCGTGGCAAGGAAAAGGGTGAAAATTGCTGCCAGGAAGAGACTAGAATACCAGGAGCCCAACCCTGGGACTTAGTTGCTTGCATGTTTAACTATCCACCCACTGCATATAACCTACTACACCAGTCCAAGCATCTTCGTTCTACAGAGGTAAGTTCATTATCACTCCAATGGAAGGTCAATCAAAGACCCAGGGCACCTGTGAACAACCACAAGCTCTGGGCATGGGGGCTGGCCATATTTTATCACTCTGAGATGAAGTCAGCATCAATAATATATACACAACTTAAATTAGGGCTGTCCAGGAAATGTGTGCATATGGGTTAAAGGCAGAGCCCCAGGTGCAAAATGACTCCTTGGCTTGCTTCAAAACCACCTGCGATAGGTAAACACCATGCCTAGGACCCACTGATATCACCGTGGCACTGTGTGGGAGAAAGCAAGCCAGGACAGTCTTTGTCTCAGCTCTCTGGGAGCTTGTACCTAAAATAGGGCCAAAAACTATGGTCTACACAAAAAAGACTTGAACCCAGATGGAAACTGGGTTTGCTGCTTAGTAAATCAAAAATTAAAATTACCTCACATCCCAGGTGGGTCACGAGACAAGCTCAATTTCTGAAAGCTTACATAGAAACATCACCAAATACAGGAACCTACTGAATATTGAATATAGATGGGTTCTGAGATTATTTAAAAGAGACGACACTGGAAAACAAGTCATTTATTCTTGAGACTGGCTCACTTCACCCTCTGGATATTGGCTTCCTAACATGACCCACATGAAGATGGACAGAACACCACTGTCTCAGGAGCTTTCCTTCAAGACTCATCACGACAGGAACACACGAATCTATAGACAGTGACCCCCTCTTCCACAAAAATGAACCCATCTGAGCTGGACACAGTAGCACATGCCTATAATCCCAGTGGCTGGGGAGACTGAGACAGGAGGATTGCAAAGCTCAAAGCCAGCCTCAGCAACTTATCGAGGCCCTAAGCATCTTAGAAAGACCCTGTCTCAAAAAGATTTTTTTTAAAAAAAAAAAGGGCTGGGGATGTGACTCAGTGGTAAAGCATCTCTGGGTTCAAATGCCCTCCCCAAAAAAATCTGAACCCACTTGAGAGGCAGGTACAGAGGGCAAACATCACCTAACACCAAACGCCACTGCTCAAACCATCTTGGAGGAGCCCATGTGCTGCACCTTGTTTGAGATGCTTCCAGAGATCTCCTCCCATATGTCTGCACACGGCAGACCACTAGGGGAACAAGGGCTGCCAGGGACTCACAGCTCTGTGTCCTGCTTGGATTTCACAGTGGGTGGCAGTACCCACCAGTTTTATCCCTATTGCCACTGACAATTGGGGAGCAGTCACTGATGAAATCTACAAGCACTCCACTAAGCTGTCATGAGCCAAGAACTGCTCATGGGCTCATGGGTGCAACTGAGAGGCAGAGCACTTGCCTGGCATGTGCAATGCCCTGGGTTCCATCCCCAGCACCACAAAATTAATTAATTAATTAATTAATAATTACCTCTGGACAAGCAAGTGCTTGTAATAAACAACATGTGTGCCTTTAATAAAGCATCTGATAGGTGCTGACATCACCTGGCCACCAGGATGGACGTGATAGCAGTAGGCTGTTAGTTCACAGGTCTAAGAAGAAAACCCAAGTCACTAGGAGTGGGCAGAGGGAAGGGAGAATATACAGAAGTAGAACAGAAAATCAGAGAGGGAAAATGCCCAGAGCAACTAATGATAAGAGGAAAAGAAAAAGTCAAGTAGGAGCCTAGGCTTAAGAGACTCGGAGGGTAGAAGATACTAAACATGGGGGCAAACAGTGTGGCAGATCCTCCTAAAACTTATCCACAGGACTGTGTGGGCAAGCAGCATTAGTGCCATTCCCTCCAAATACTTGCTGCTCCCCTATCAATGACAGGCACCATTCCAGGCACAAGAAGACACACAGAACCAAACACACACAATAAAACAAAAACCCTGCCCTGGTGGATGTCACATCCTAATTGAAAGAAAACGCCAATAAATGTTCTTAAAAATTAGTAAATTATATGGTCTGTTGGAAGGTGGTCAGTACTATAGGAAAATATAAGGCAGGAAAGGGGACCAACCGAAGGACGCCAATCATGCAGATGGCTGTCAGGCAGGACCATAGGAAGTGATGCTCGAACAAAAGCTCCGGGGTGAGAACAGAGAAGCGGCTAAGCCCAGATGAGAAAAGTGCTTTCCAAAATAAGGACAGAAGCTGCAGGCCCTTCTGCAGGCAGGGGCAGTCACTGCAGGATGTCACTGCAGGGAAGGAGAGGATCCCATCTGTCTTGGAAGAATCACTCCCTCTCCAACAGCCACATGCAAGACAGACAGACAGGGCAAGGCTGGAAGGATCAGAGGAAGCTAGGAAGTGCAGGCCAGGATTCAGACAGGGAGAAGAAAACACATGCAAGAAGCATCTGGACAGTATCATCAACAGAACGTGGTGGAAACAAGCCTCACAGAAAACGCAGTCTCTTCCCAGCATGCAGCCACCGTCGAGGGAATAAATGACTTCACTTTCCACACAGCCAGCTCTCAGCAGCTAATGGAACCATGGAAATAGGTAATTCCGGAGGAAACATATTAAATATGAGAATGACAAACCACTTCACAGAAATTTCTATTTACTCTCCTTTTTTGTAAATCCATTTACTCTAAATGGGATATGGTGGGGGCAAGTCTTACTGGTGACAATTGTTCCCTTAAGCTTTGAAAATAAAAACAGGGTACTTTGGGTCGGGGGTGCAGATCATTGGTAAAGCCTTTGACTAGCATGCATGAGGGCCTGGATTGGATCCCCAGTGTTGGGAGAAGAAAAAAACACACACGCACACACACACATACACACACACACACACTCTCACACACACACAAATACTCCTAAACATGATATTTTAAAAAGCAAATCCTTTTCCTAACAACAATATTCCAAAGAGGCTACTTTTATTTTTTAAAGGCTATTTTTAAAAGATGTACGTTTCCTTTTGATTGTGTGTGTGCCTGTGTGTGTGTGGTGCTAGGGATTCACATGTTCTACACCAACACTCTACAGGCAAGCTACACCCATGCCGCCTCTTAATTCATGAAATATACTACTGTGACCTCAAGACCAAAAGTAAACGCGTCTACTAATTAAAGCAGGATGTTTTTTTTCCAAAGGCACACAGAGAAGGTTCAGAAGGATGGGCTTCTAAAGGGCAGCTTCCTGCTTGGACAACACAGTTGTGTAAACTGTACTACAGGCTCCTCTTGTCTCCAAGGCTGGTGAACAACAGAATTACAGCATCAGAATTTCTTATGAAAGTCACCTGACCAAGTAAAATGAAGGGAACTCTCGAGTCCCGTGGCCACTACCTCGCCACTGTGTGACATAAACAGATCGCTTAGCCTCTCTGCTCCTCAAATTCCTTACCAGTTAAATAAGGAGGCTTACGTAGACTCAATCAAAGGTCTTTTTCAAATCGAAAATGCTTACAAGGTCTTGCTAGCACTCATTGTATATTTTCTCCATCAGAACCTCCATTTATCTGAACCAAATTTCATAGAGTAAGACTTCTCCCCTCTCCGTGCTAGCCTGCCTCCTTCTTTCACCTGCGGTGTATTTACAGAACACAAGTTGCCGCAGTCTGGCTGGGCACAAATCATGAACCACTCAAGCAGGAACAAATTTTATTTCCGAACTCCACCAGCACACTCCACACACGCTCCCTGGGAACCTCTCAGCTCTCCCCCGGGCTCCGCCCCCACTCAAGGGAACTCCAAAGTAGTGGGCTCCCGAGGCAACAAGAGCCGCCCTATTGCCAGACAGTAAAGGTCTATATACAGTTGAATACACAGCTTAACTAACCATCATCATCTCAATGGCTTGCTGATGTCACCTTTCAACCATTCCCTCTGGCAAAATGCCAGGCATCATTTCGACTCAGCTGTGGCCCTCAACAACAAGTAATTTTTAGCAAAGACTAAGCAAAGCCTTGTTAGGAAGGAAAGGAGTGAG